ATGGTGACCCACATACAAAGTGGAGGAAGATTGGCACAGATTTTAGCTCAAGGCTAATCTTCCTCAAGCAAAAAAAGAGGAAGACTGGCAACAAGTGTTAGCTAAGGGTGAATCTTCCTCAGCAAAAAGTAAAATAAAATAAGCTAATAGGAATAAGTCATAACAATGACAGCACATTTCAATTTTGTGAGCTGTGTGTGAACCAAATTGTTACATCACTTTTTTCTTTCCTAAAGCTTTCAAACTCATTGTGGTCAACACAAAGACCAAAAGGAACACCAATACTCTGGGGATCATATGTTGAAAAACACTTACCCAAGTCATCAAGCAAGAATTCCTATCATTTTCTCCTGTCACCCACACTCTGTAGCCAGTTTCTTCTTTAACATTTCCACCCAAGGCTAATCCTTCTACTTGTTGAGTATACTGGATCCTACATTCATCAACACTGACCTTAGGATCTTGCTCAATTATCCCATCTATCATTTCTCTATATCTTTAGCTTCTTCCAAAATTGATACTGACTCTTTCCCATTAAACTATAAATATATTCAAGTATCTGCACTCTAAAAGAAAAAAAACGGAGGTAGTGAGGGAGGCACTTCATTTAACCCACGTCTCCCACGTATACTTTCTATCTCTACCATCTCATAACCCATAATCATAATTTAGTCTACTGAAATCTGGGTTATAAATAATCTTTTACAATGATTAATATTTTTGATGAAATTGCCAAAGACTTCTATTATTGTTCATCCAAAGGCACATCTTTGACATTTTACTTTAGTCTTCCCTTCACTTCTTATTACGCAAGCTCAAAAGATTTAATCAAGAGAGGGCAAGAAGGTGTGCTGAAGTCCAGCCAAAGTTCACAAGTTTCAAGAAGATAATTGGAATCTCAAGGAACCCTTAAAAGAAGCTACCTTCAATGTCATGAAATTCATACTCCATACATCTTTTTTGGGGGGGGGGGTATTTTCTAACAGGAATTAAAGTATTTATTAGTAGATGGAAAGTAGACGAGGATAAATGAGATCATATACAAGAATTCTGAATATCTCATACTAGTATTTTCAATATTAATAGATACTTCAACACACTTAATAGAATAATAAATATCAAATAAAGACATTAAAATGAGAGTTGTTGGGCACACAATGACTGAACAATACATTATTTTATTTTGTTAATACCACAGCAAAGACACTGCTGTGCAGCAAAAAGCAAGGAATAGACTCTTCTTACTTCCCCTAAGTGTTTATAACGATGAGCATATGCTTTGAAAGAAACATCACCATGACATCTGCAATTATCCTACAAAAAAGAAAAAAGTTCTCATTTCTCATTTTCAAGAATTACTTCTGTATTTCAGAAATCCTGTTTATAATTAATTTCTAAAAAGCAAACCCTATTTTCCCATTAGAATGTATTCTCTTTACAACACACACACATATATTCACACACACACACACCTCTGTCTGAAAACTTCTGAAGAAGTAATTAAAAGAGCTCTAGCCCAATGACATTTCAGAAACCTTGAGTATACTACAATTATTCTTTGCCTGATGGCAGTGTTCACAGATCTCCTCCCTTTAATTATTCTTCTCTTACCACCTGTTCTCAAATTTTCTCCCCTAAGGATCTCAAGACCGTACTCTAAGCGTCCAGAACCTGGCATCTCTACTCTTGTCCTTCTGGGCTACCACAGCAAACTCTGCTAAGACTGACATCCAAAGGTTAAAATATTATATAAAACAGGTTAGTTTCTGATATTAACTTTATAAAATCTAAATTAAGGACATCATATTAGTTTTTGTGCATATTACATACTACACTAGCTTTCAAACTATTGAAAGTACATAGCTAATATATTTTCCAACAAAATAAAAATAAATACAAACACATTTTAGTACTAAGAATAAGAAGCTTAAAGTTCTTTATCACATGGGTCACTACTGGAGGATGTTTATTAGCTACTTAAGATAATCACAGGGCCTAAAAAGGACAAAGGAAAAGAATGATAAATCTGATCACATTATGAATGAATGAAAGAACAGATGAAAAAAGAAAAGTAAAGAAAGAAGAAATCTACGAATGATGAAAAAACTATTTGCATTACATGACAACTATAAATAGCTCTCACAAATAATGAACTCAGAAAGTAGGCAAAACATAGACTAGTTAACAAAAAAGAAATAAAAATAAACATTCATAAAAATAGGCCAAATTTAACCCTTACTTAAAAAAATGCAAATCAAAAAAAGATTATGTTTCTCAACTATGTATACGGCAAAGTTAATCATGACATCATAGAAATATATTTTATTTATTTCTTTCCTATGTTTATTCTTCTATTCCTTTTGTACTTACATTATTTCACTGGCCACAATATCCAATAAAATTCTAAATAGAAAAAAATAAAAAATAAAAATAAATAAAATAAAATAAAATTAATATTTTAGTTCAAAAAAAAAAGTTTAATAATACTATTGGCAAGGACGTGAAGGAAAAGTCATTCTCATATGACTGGTAAGAATGTAAATTGGTTAATATAACAAAATATAAATATAATCCTTGGAACTTATTTTACGGTTATATTTAAATAGTGTGCAAAGATACACATACAAAACTATTCACTGCAGCATTGTTTAATAAGAGCATCAAACTGGAAACAACCTAAACTCCATCAATAGGAGACTGATGAGAAATACTAGCTTATATCTAAGTTTTACAACAGAATATTAAAGAGCCTTTAAAACGAAAAAAGTACATACATATGGGCTGATGTGAAAAGATCTTTAATATGCACTGATTGGAAAAAAACAAGGTTGAAAAGAGTATACATTATAAAGCTATCTAACTTAAATACATATCGTATTAAGTTTTTTATATATAATTATATTATATATATTATCTCTTGTAAAAAAGTCACAGACCCAGGAAATGGCTAAGTGTTACAAACAGTTGCCAGATAAAATATATGACATCCGGTTAAATTTGAATTTCAGGTAAACAATGAATTTTTTTAGTGTATGTCCAAATATTGCAAGGGACTTACTATTTTTCATTTGCTAAATCTGGCAACCCTAGTTACATAACACTGTGCAAGTCACAACCTCAGCTGCCTCACTTTTCACATCTGGAAAATGCAGGGGTCAGACTGTGATTTCTTCTAGTTCTAAAATTAGTTTTATGATTTTTTTTTTTTCCAGGTACTAAAATTCATTGGTTCTAAAGGTCTCTAGAATTCTGGCATTTTATAAAGAATTCAACATATACTCAGGATAACGTTCAGACAAACTAACAGCTTCTAACAATTCTTCACTGAATCTTGCTAGTCCCTGAAAATAGGCATTCTTCAAGGTCCTACCTTGGTCTTTTACTTTACACCACTCTACATGCTCAGGAATTTTTTTTTTCTTTCACATATATGTGGATGATTCCTAGATTTTTCTTTCCCTCTCCAGTCAATCATGGAATTCATGGAAAGCCTCAAACCAACTATAACATTAAAATTAACACAAAACAAAGAATACTGTCTTCAGACCAAAAATTACAGCTTTTAGTGAGTGCCTGTATTACAGTACACGTATCAGAAACTTACAATTTAAATACGACAAATATGAAGCTATTAGAGAATCAGATGGAATATTAACAGTGCAAGACTGTTTCACATTCTCTGCTTAGCTGCAGTTACAGAAGTCAAGACCCACAGATCGCCCAAATGCTAAGCCAACCCTAATAATATCAGGAAATAAGAACCTCATCCCACTAGCAACTGTGGCCTGGAAAGAGTCTACCTCCCAGAGTACCTCCAGTGAAGCCTAAACAATTACATATGTATACAGCCTGAGACATTCTCTAATCCCTGCCATGTTTATCTAGTCAGTACAACCGGAGTTCTCCTTTGGTTTCCTGAGAGCAAAGCCCTGACTTGAACCAGAGCCCATCTGCCTGGGGCTCCCAACACTCAGTCCAGATTTGTTCAGCTACCTCCCACTGAAAGCTACACACTGTGCTTTATAATCCACAGCTTCAGATGGAGTCATTAACAAAAGCAATTGACTAGACTCTCACCCCCAAACCACAACGCTTAAACCCACCACTCAATTCTATTATTTCCTAAAACCTCTTCCTTTAGTGTCCCATTCATTTGGTGGTATTTTTTCAACATATTTTAATGATCATTCAAATAAGTTACTCATTATCCTTTGAATATTTGTTTTCTATTTATGGCTATCTCCAAGAGGGCCAGTCGATGGCTAAATCAATTTTCCCAGGTTTGATCCCACTCAACCTGGGTTTCTTGTTCTCCTTTCCCAGCCCTATATATAAGTACAACAGGTACAAGAATCATAAAACCAGTAAGTGCTACCTATTTTCATAATCATTATAGGTACAACCACTATCCTACCCATATTTCACTTTTAAAACACTAACATTATCTTCAAAACTTGTCAATTGTCAAAAGTGGATTATTTCTTTCTCTGCAAAACAATCACCATAATTCATGCTTCCCTCTGCAGGATCTTTCACACATCTTTTTCACTTCATATTTGGGCTATGGCAGTACATTTTCCTTCAGTAATCCAGCAGGGATGTTATATTTACAATTATGATTATATTTAACAACAGAGTAACTTCCTTTGAAAGTAATATGACAGCAGTGACAAAATCTACCGAAATATCTCCCTTCGCATGTCCATTTCAAAGGATTATTAACTCACTGGTTTTTAGATTGCAAAAAAGCAACAAAGTTTGAGCACATTTAGCTACTGAATTCTTCTAGCTCTTTTTGTTAAATAAAACTGTGAAATAAAATGCAACCCATAAAATGAAACTACTAAATCGTTAAACATGCATATATCTCTTCCATCAAATTTAAAAAACAGGAGATAACTCATATCCAATAACTGATGTTCTAAAAATACAGTTCAGTTCTTTGAATCCTCTGGACCTTAACATTCGTTTATCAGTTTAAAAAACAAATGACAAAATACCCCGAAAATGAAGACGTGTCCTGTAGATGTTCTTTTTTCAGCGAGTCATCTCTCCAGCTTTCATCCTGTGAGTTTTCTCTGGTGTCTTCTGAGATGCGGCGATCATCAGCACTGCAACTGGCTTCCAGTGGCTTTCGACATGAATGTTTCCTGTCTCCTTCTCTCCCATCAGATCGATGCCATGATGATACACTTTCTCCACTGTTCTCTGTGGGTTTTCGAAAACCACAACGCACAGAATCCTGAGAGATCAGTGCTGAAGATGAACTAGATGGTTCAAAATTTCTGCCCTTGCTATGAAATGATAGTTCTTCATCATCAGAGGGTTTTAAGAATTTACGTCTCAAATTTCCAGAAGAAAACTCTTGATTTTGCCTTGGATTAGACTGTCTTCTACATGTTTCTAAAGACCCAGATCTATTATCTTTTTCATCACCGCTAAACTTATCTTTACTGATATTGTCTGCAGTATCTGTTGTGCTATATCTGTCTCCTGAAGTTTTATTATATTTTACCAAGTCTGATCTTCTACCTTCTTGACTACTTTGTGCTTTATCTGAATATACTGGTTTCCTCCACCGTTCTCGTGTACAGTCTTCTTTTTTGGATGCAGTTTTTTCAGCTTCTTCTAATTTTGACTGAAATATTTCCATTGACTACAAAGGAGAAAAATCAAACAAGATATCTAAAATTAAGAAAGGCTCAATGACTTGTACCCTATATGCCACTGTGTCATAATACACTGTCATGTGGCACAAAGACAGAAAAACTCAATAAAAGAGGATAAAAGACCCATACAATCATCCTACCTGATATGGGCTGAATTGTGTCCCCCCCGCAATATTCATATTTTGAAGCCCTAACCACTAGTACCTCAGAACGTGACAGCACTTGAAGACAGGGCCTTTAAAGAGGTGATTGTGTTAAAATTAGGTCATTATGTTGGGTCCTAATCCAATCTGACTGATGTCCTTATATGAAGAAATTTGGACACACACAGAGATATCAGGAATGCATACACACAGAGAAAAGACCATGTGAGGACACAGCAAGAAGGCAGCCATTTACAAGCCAAAAAGAGAGGTCTCAGAAGAAACCCAAGCTACTGATGCCTTGATCTTAGATTTCCATTCTCCTGAACTGTGAGAAAACAAACTTCTATTGTTTAAGCCACCCAACCTGTGGAACTTTGTTATGGCGGCCCTGGCAAACTAATACACTACCCTAAAATGAACTTAAAAAAAATATGAGTAATTAATGAAAAATTACCAAAATAACAAAAAAAATCTGAGAGCTCAAGAGAAGCCACTTAGACCAAATGCCAAGCACTAAAACAAAATATAATATAGAAAACAGAAAAGATATAAATTTTTTTAAATAATTTCTACTATCAGTGAGATTCAAGAGGGTACTACATTGCTAAAACATAACAGACTCTGATGAAAAAAAGAGCAGTTCAAGAACAAGAAAGCCTTACAAATGACTGTATTTAAAAACATGCAGATAGTGAATAGAAGAATAGAAAACGTTGAATCCAAATTAGTGAATTCAACATCAGCCAGGAAATTCTCTATATTTAGGAAAAGATGGTAAATAGATGTAAGTTATAAGGGAAAAAGACACATGGACAATTAATTCTAAAGAATCTAATACGCATGTACTACTACCACCAGAAAGAAAGAGCAAAGATGACGGAAGCAAGCATTAACAGAATACTAATAATAATATAAGAAGATTTCCTCAGATAATTTTCCAGATCCGAAGGGCTCACCCAATAGTCTTAGGGGAGGGGAGAGAGTGAAACATACAAAGACTCGGACATAAGAAACTCTAATTCCTGAGTCTCAAAATTCACATACACAAAATTCCTCACAAAGACTGGGTCAGGGAAAGGAGGGAGTAAAGAGCATGTAAACAGATGAGAGTAGGTAAATAACATATTACCTAGAAAGGAAAGAAAGAAAGACTTATCAACTTTTCATCTACAACACTAAGTGTTAGAAGATAATGGAATAAAGATAAAATTTTGAAAAAAAATTATACAGCAATAATTCTATATAGAGAATTCAATTCACAGTCAAAGTATCCTTTCCTGGTATGGACAAAAGAAAGGTGCTTTCAAAAACGCAAGGAATCTGGGGCTGGCCCAGTGGCATAGTAATTATAAAGTTCACGTGCTCCACTTCAGTGGCCCGGGGTTCACTGGTTCTGATCCTGGCACAGCCCTACACACTGCTTATCAAGCCATGCTGTGGCAGGCATCCCGCATATCAAGTAGAGGAAGATGGGCACAGCTGCTAGCACAGGGCCAATCTTCCTCAGCAAAAAGAGGAGGATTGGCAACAGATGTTAGCTCAGGGCTAATCTTCCTCACCAAAAAAAAAACAAAAAAATGCCAGGAATCAGAAAGCAAGTCACTTACTAATCCTGGGGGAACAATTACTCAGGATCATTAAGCCAAACCATAAATGAATTAGGGCAAAGATCTCTGAAAAATGGAAGGCATGCTATAAACCAAATGGCAAATACAATGGTTAAGTGTAAATAACTGTTCTTGTAGTTGTGAAGTTCATATTTTTCTAATTTGTATTAAACTGGAATGAAAATTTCATCTTATTTCAATAAAATCTGGAAAGTGAGATGGAGGATCAAAATATGCTAAAGTTACCATCTTAGCCTAGGCAGAGATAATCTATAACATTTCACATTTTAAAATTATTTTTAAGGGGCCCGCCCAGTCATGCAGCAGTTAAGTGTGCGCATTCCAGTTCCTCGGCCCGGGGTTCACAGGTTCGGATCCTGGGTGCATGCCAATGCACTACTTGTCAAGCCATGCTGTAGTGGCGTCCTATACAAGGTAGAGGAAGATGGGCACGGATGTCAGCCCAGAGCCAACCTCCCTCAGCAAAAAGAGGAGGATTGGCAACAGATGTTAGCTCAGGGCTAATCTTCCTCACAAAAAATTTTTAAAAAATTATTTTTAAAATACAGGTTTAACGTGTTTCTTAAATTTAATGGCAACATGAATAGAATAGAAATGATGGCAGCGAGGCGATAATATTTTCATAAAGAAAGCATTGCCTCTTAGGTAGCTTTTTCCTTTCTTAGTGATACATTAAATAATGGTGTGTCTACAATTAGTAGCTTCTTAGATTCAATAAAATATGGTAATAATAAAAACAACAAAAACAGCAATTACTACAATTTATCCAATGCTTATTATATTACATCTTTTAGATCATTTAAGTGGGTTCTAGAAACAACATCTAGGTTCAAATCTACTTATTAACCATGTAATCTTGGTTAAGTTATTTAACATCTGTCGGCCTCAGTTTCCTCATTCACAAAACAATAGTACTGTTGTGGGTATTACACGAGTTAATTACACACAAAGCATTTTAACAGTGCTTGGCACATGAAAAGCACTCAAATTATTATTAATTTTCACAACAATTCTATGAGATTGATACTAATAGTACTGTTCTTAAAATGGAAAAAAAAATGAAACCAAGGTCACACAGCAAAAGAATAACAAACCTGATACTGAAATTCAGGACTATTTGATTACAAAGCCAGTGTTTTTAACTACTATGTCAAAATGCCTCATTCTGTGATTCTTAACTGTTCTAAAGCATTAACTAATTATATAAAACTTCACAATTCAAATAATAAACTTACAATAACCCCTACTATAAAAACAATAAAAATAACATAAAAAGAAAACTAAAGGCCATATATATATAAATAAAGATATAAATTCAAAATAAAATATGAACACATTTAATTCAGTAGTATATTAAAGGAAATGCCATGATCAAATAGGAGTCATTCAAAGAATGCAAGAATGGTCCGACATTAGAAAATGTATTCACGCAATTCATCTCATTAACAAGTAAAAGAAAAAAAATCATATCTAAAAGGATTCAAAAAAAGTTATTTCATAAAAATTAGACACCCATTCCTAATTTAAGAACAAAGCAAACAAACAAAAAAACAGCTTTGACTAAACTTTGAATGCAAAGATACCTTTTAAAGATGATAATCATCTTAAATGCAGGAAGTCATAATTTAAACACAGAAAGACAAGAAAACTAGCTTCCAGTGCTTTTCTCAAAGTTCTGAAATTCCATCTCAATAAGACAAGAAAGTTTCAATATTGTAATAGCGAGGAGGAGAAGCAAAAGTAATAATCACTTGCATGTAACTATTTTCTCAGAGAACCCAATTAAAAAAAAAGCATTAGATTTAATGACAAGACTTTAGAAAACTGGTTGACTACCACCAACAGCAAGTCAAAAAACATAAGGGAAAAAAGATTTAATATACAATTTTAAAAAAGAATTAAAAATAACCTTAACAACACATGTGTAATAACTGCACAGAGAAGTTTACTGAAGAATATAAATGAAAATTTGAATAGAGAAATACCCGGTATTTTAGGATGAGATAGCTCAACATTATAAAGATATTAATTGTCCTTGATGTATCTAAATGTTTAGTTAAATTTAAATCAAAATTCCAAAAGGAGCTGTAAATTTATTACGGATTTTGGAAAAACGTTTGCTTCTGTTGAGCTTGAACCTGACAAAATGATTCTAAATTTAACAAATAAGCACACAGGAATGAAAAGCCAATTTTTTAATGACTAATAAAAGATGACCTGCTCTGCCACCGAGGAGGTGTTCGGTAATTATTTGCTATCTACATGAGTTACTGAAAACTACAATAATTATAACAGTACAATACTAACTCCAGAAACAACAGAAAAATTAATGGAATACATATGAGAGTAAAGAACAGACCCATTCTATAAAAGACAATTTAATATACAATAAATGTGCCACTTCAAATTAGTGGGGAAAGAATGATTCATTTAATATATTCTAAACAACTATCTAAAGACTTAAGGAAAGTCAGATGCCTATTTTACACCATACACAAATACATATTCCAGAAAGATTAAAGATGCACATAAAAAAATAAAACTGAACAAGTACTCAAAGGAAATATAGGTACACATTTTTATGATTTTCAGGGTGGAGAAGGCTTGTCAATGAATTACACCAGAAACATTAAGTCACGAGAAAAAAAAGCTGATAGATTTTGTTGGGTAAAAATATTTAAAATGTATCCATAGCGCATACATATAAACAAAGTAAAAAACAAACATGAAACTAAGAGGAAGAAATTTCACCAGATTTATTTAAAGATCTTAAATCAATATCCCAAAAGAAAAATGGGTAAATACTATCAATAATCAGTTCACTTAAACACACAAATAGCCAAAAAAAATTTTTTTATTTCACTAGTAAACAAATGTATAAAAATAAAAACAAAGAAAAAATTTATCAATCACAGTAGCACAGACTATAAAGAATGAGAATCCTACTGCTGAAAATCATGTGATAGGGCCAGCCCCAAAGCTTAGCGGTTGAGTGCGTGCGCTCTGCTACTGGCAGCCTGGGTTCAGAACCCGGGCGCACACCGACACACCGCTTCTCCAGCCATGCTGAAGCCGCGTCCCACATACAGCAACTAGAAGGATGTGCAACTATGACATACAACTATCTACTGGGGCTTTGGGGGAAAAAATGGGGGAGGACTGGCAATAGATGTTAGCTCAGAGCCAGTCTTCCTCAGCAAAAAGAGGAGAATTAGCACGGATGTTAGTTCAGGGCGGATCTTCCTCATGAAAAAAGAAAATCATGTGATAAAAGAGTGACTGTAACGAGAGTATAATTTGTTCATTCTTTCTGTCGACAAATTTGGCAATATACATCTCACTTCAAGTGTCTATATCCTTTAAAACAGCAACTTCATTTTTATGAATTAATTTAAGAAAATTATTAGATAAGTATGCAAAATGAATTGGACAAAGATGGTCAGCAAAGTGTTACTTAACAGGGGAAAGACAAAAACCTATAAATGTCCCTTCGTTGACAATTAAATAAATCAATAATGGTAAAACCATATAAATATATGTGGAAGTATTAGGAGGCCACTAAAATGTATATATTTACTGGCATTCAACTATGTCTACATTACTAAGTGAAAGAAGGAGGAAGTATTCTATGCGCCTACTTTATGAAACTGTTTATTTTAAAAGTATATAATAAAGAGAAAAAAAATCTGGAAAAATATATATTAAAATGTTAACAAAATTTCTCTTAAAACTAGGATGATTTTTCTCTCTCCCTTTATTTATTTTTTGCTTGTCTATATTTTCAAAATCTTACTACTTTCTATACCTGCTTTCCTCTGGAAATAATTAAAAAAAGACATCAATAGCCACTGAAATACAAAGATTATCCACACATGGTGAATGGGGGAGCTGGCTCTAAAATATCACGTACTGCTGCATGGTTCCATTGTTTTAAAAGCATATTCTTAAAAAGAAAATCTGTTATATTCCAAAACTCTGAAATATAATAAAAACTCTGCAATAAACCAAATACTCCGAAATATACCAAAATTTCAACAGTGGTTATCTCTAGAGGTGTAGTATGAAGGCTTTCCTGTATTATTTAAATATTCTCACAATGAGAAAATGTTATTTTTATATTAAACACACACTTACATTTTACATACTTAAATTTTATATTCATTATGTCAATGAAAATATGCTACATAAGTTTACATAATTACAAAAAGCAGAAAATAGCTTCAACAGTATACACATATTTGAAATTTAATATCAATTAATCCTAAAGTGTTTCATGACACATAACACTGACAAAGTTAGACACTTAATTCTCATATAACTCTGAAAATAATATATATCTCCTTATACCAATACTCACCCCATATCTTTCAGCTACAATGTCTTCAAAATTTCTATTTTGTTTCTCAGCTTGTTCCTTCATTCTTTGATAAGACTTCCTTAGCCAGCTTAAACCACCATCTTCTACTACTGAAACTAAATTCCAATATTAAATGTCAGTTATACTTCTCATGTGGTTATGACAGAATACTTATTGCTTCTATAATGACTTCTAAAGTATAAAATTAAATATTATTCCTTGAACATATAAAATCATAAGTGCATTTAAATTCAACATATATTTGAGTACCTAAATATGCAAGGTACAGAGTTTTGCAACTATGAGCAAGGAAAAAATAAATAAAACTACCCTCAAAAATACTGCAATGTAAGAGAATGAAGATAAAAGAATATAAATAATTACAATAAAGATAATATGTGATAAATATTATAAAAAGATATAGAGTTATAGAAAAATGAGAAAAGGAAGGATTACTTCTAAATGAGAGGTCAGGAAAAATTTCACAAACCAGGCTCAAAACAATGAGCTGGATTTCTATGAACAAAGATAAGAACAGGCAGGGCATTCCCAGAAACCAATAATGAATAAAGGTACACACAAGGGGGAAAAGGCTACTTCAAATACAGCACAAAGTACACACAAGGAAATTATAGATAATAATGCTGAAATTTATAAACCAAAATATTCTACTTTAGTGGTGATTACCAACTATTAAAATCTGAATGTCTTCAACAAAATTTATTAAGCTTATATTTACTTCTATACACATCACACTTCTGATATGCATAAAGAGGAAATCTAATCAATTACTTAAGTCAAAACTCTCCTCCTTATTTTCCTCACCCAAAAATAGGACTGCTTTACATCACCCCAGCTCTACAACCAACAAAAATGCACACACACAGACCCCAACAGAGACAAGAATGTTCTTAGCAGAAAAATCTGGAGTAATCCCACTCTGAAAACAACCCAAATGTTCATCATCAGTAAAATGGATATATATATATATATATATACACCACAGATCATGACATATTCCTAAAATAGACTACTATACAGCAATGAGAATTAAGGACTACAACTCTACACAAGAACACGAATGAATCTGAAAATGTGGACAAAAGAAGCAAGAAACAAAAGAGGGAATAGTGTATGATTCCAGGAAAAACTGATTTTTGGTGCTAGAAACAGTGGTTACTCTCCTGGCAACAGCTAGTCACTAGAAGGGCCACAAAGGGAGCTCTGGACATGCTAATAATGTTCTGTTTCTAAAACTGCTTCTAAAACTGTGTGCTGATTACACAGATGTTTTCACTTTGTGAAAATGATCAGTCTATATACTTACGTTTTGTGTACTTTTCTGTATATGTGTTAAACTTCAATAAAAAGTTTACTTAAAGAAAGAAAAAAAAGATTTTTCAATCCTCAAACTAATTCCAGTCCCTCATTTAAATCTCAAAAGTTTATCTCTACTAATCAATTTCTTCTAAGATAATGTGTTGTTTCTTTACAGGTCTAAAATACTTTGTACCAAAACCTAGATCTCTAGTTAATGATTCACATTTCATTCAAGTTTATTTTGCTCTTGCTCTTTTTTTCTTATTTATGTAGTTTGAGTTCAAAATTAACAATGCAACTACTCAAGGAAGTTACTCTAAATCTGCAATTTACATAGTGATAAGAAAAACCCATTGTAATTAATACCTATGGTAATGTCCCAGCTAAATAATTAAATTGTTTACTCCAAAGAGTTATCTGTGACTGATGAAATGCTGATACGCATAGCGAAAATTTCCTGAACAATCACCAGTATATTAACATAGTTCAGAGAAAAAAAAAATAGAGAAAAAGTAAGACTGCTTTTATTCCTCTGTGTTGACATTTATCAAGGAAATTTAACAAGAATAAAAATTTTTAGCCAATTCAGTCAGGAGTAAAATCTACAATTTTAGAAATATTTATATAATAATGTTACCTTTAGTTAAATATACGTTCTATTTCAATAGTCTTATTAATCTTATAATTAGAGATATCAATAATGACATATTTTTAACAAGAGAAATCACCAAATTTAATATTTAAAAAGCAAACAAAAAATACCAACTCGCAGCACCATCACGAAATTCAATCCAAAAAATATTTAGTGAATATTTACTATGAATACGAAAATTTGTTATACATAGGAGGAAGTAAAAACTTAAGTCACAGTCCCTTGTCCTCTATACTGAGATAAAGATATATCAAATAATTATAATTAATTCATTGGTATTGTAGGATCCCAAAAAGGAAACCCCAACTCCAGTCTCGGGAAGGCGCGGACCCACAGACACAGAAGACCGAGCTTGATGCAAACGCAAGAGGTTTAGTAAGCGGAGCTCCGGGTCGACACGTATCTCTCGCAGGAGACAGAGGAGTCGACCCCGGACCTTAAAGGGCAAGTTCTTATATAGGGTTTGGAAGCACAAAGCGGGAAAAGGTTGGCGCGGTCTTACATGATTGGCTAATTTAAAACATTTAAACAGTTACATTTTATGGCGCGAATTGCTATGGCGCGAAGCGATTATCAGGTTACACACACGCGTCCCCATCTGGACCCCCTCCACCCCGACCCTCCCAAACTTATCCCTCTGGAGCACTCTCTTGTTCTCAATTTTCCCCGAACAGTTTAGGGCGGGTCTTCCATGAATAGAGTCAGTCAGGATCGATAAACGTTCCCCCTTATACCAGGAATCCTTAGGGTGTGGAGGTGCCTGTCTCTAAGGTAGTAACTTTTTAATTTTTAATACAATTTTTACTTCCTTCAGTATGCAGCACTTAATATATACCTGTATCTAAAATCTGTTTTTTATAAGTCAAAAATTAAGAGACTGAAGTATATGCTTCCATCATAATTGAAAGTTATATTGTTACAGACGAAATACAACCAAATGAACCTAGGCTAGGCTACATTCCCTATTTTTCTCAGAAGAATAAAAATAGCAATACACTAAATAACAGGAGACCTGGATTTTAGTCTTGCTGCTACTACTAAATAGTTGTAAGATCTTAAGCAAGTCATTAACTTCTTTGAACCTTTGCTTATGCATCTGTAAAATAAGACAGGTGATTTAAACCACCTTTGAAATTTCTTCCAACTCAAAAGATTCTAAAAGAGAAAGCCAAAAAAAAAAAGAAGAAAAAAATCAATAGGAAGAACAAAAACACAATGAAAGAGTTTGTAAACAAGAATTGCTACCAACTACCTGGTAACAAATACAGTCTTCTAATGAAGAACCCAGAGTAACTAACACTAGACTGGGACTAAGAAGACCTGGGTTCTAGTACTATCACATGACTACAGGCAAATTACCTGGCCACTCTTAGCCTTAGTTTCCTGAGCTATAAAATTAGGACAATAACATCTACTTTGCTATCCTCACATAGTTGCTATGAAAATAAACCGATATATAAATATGCCATGTAAACTTTAAAATTGTACAAATATTCCCATTACTAAAATATGATTAAAAATAATTTTGTATGAACCCTGAAAATGGTTTACTTACTTTTCCACCTAAATTTCCCCAAGGAAAAAAAATCAAGAGTAATGAATTATTTATTGAAAATACGGCACCTCAATCAGTACAAAAAACTGTTGATAAAATGTTCCCAAAACATTTAATCTATCGTCATCATTATTGAGTATTTACTGAATATTCTGATTCTGAATATCCCAGATTCTGTGCTAAAAGATTTTCTCATTTAATCCTCACAATAACTAAGTAAGATAGGTATTATAATTATTCCGTATTACAGATGAGTAAATTGGACCCACAGAGGTCAGGAAACTTTGCCAAAATCAATGAAGCTAATAAGTGGAAATGCCAAAATTCTAACCCCAAGTAGCTAAACTCCAAAGTCTGAGTCCTTAACTATACACACACTGTCACCTCCAAGTACCTCCTTAATACTAATGTTACAACACCTTTGGTGCCTAACCATTTCAGCCCAAGCAATGGTCTAAACACAAAAACTCCAATATCTGCATAAGCAGTAAAACCTGCAGATCATTTTTTAAAACTTAATTTCAACTCTGGGATCTGAATCTCTGACAGACAGAAGGTTGGTGTCATTTTCTCTCCTTCTAAATAAATATATTATGGGAAAGGAAAGTGGTGATACGAAAGGAGAAGGGAGAAAGGCTCTCTAAAAGCTGTAGGTAAGGTCATTTTTCTCCCAGTGTCTTTGATTCTGCTGTTTCAGCCAGGTGAAAGATACCACCTAAGGTAGAACTTGGGGTCTTCTCCACTCAGTAAAGTTAAGAACCTGTTGCCTGCAAATACTCAAAGACTGGGTTTGTCAATTCTAAGTTTTCCCCGCAGATGAACATATTGACTGTCCTCTGACAATAGGGGTGGCAAAAGCCTGGATCATAAAATCAGTCCTATATAGTAATGGTTCACTGAGGTAACTTACTGCTCCCCAAACTACTATTTAAGTTTCTAAAAAACAGTATTTCAAAGAGACCATTGTATGACTACAGTTAATATTATATAAACCCAGCAGAGACATATCTGCCTATGCTGAAAGGCAATAAAATGTTACAATTACTATTAAGTAAAACTGCTAAATAAAAATTATAAAGGAAACTATAAGGTGGCTCTAGGGACATCTCTACATAAAATACAAAGAATTTTAACAAATGGCCAAAATGAAAATAAACTATGCATAAAAAGCAGGAAAATATTCTACAGATAAATCCCTAAGATGAAAAGATAACATCATAATCTACAATACTATCTATCTACTGGGTTAATTATAATTAAATACACTTTTCATAGAGTTGTCAATGCAACACTTATTTGGCATATAAGTATTTTTTAAATTATGGAATAAATTATGATTCTGTGATACAGATATTTTGTCTCCATCTACTGGAAAATAACAGCACTATCCTACGGTCAATAAAATTTTGATGAATGCTAGCAAAGTAGGAATTTCTGAAGATATGAAATTTCACAGACAATACTTTTTACATTTTGTTATAGAATGTAACAAACCAAAGCATTATTATTATCCTCACAGAACCATAGTTGTATTAATCCATTCAAAACAGAAACTCAAATACGAAAACATTATCAAGTATAAAAATATATATCCAATCAATTTGCTCCCATATATATCATAATTAAAATAATCTTCCCAAGTACTAATAATTTAAATAAGGCCTCAAAAGACAGCAAACATTTTATCAACGCTTTGTCATATGTAAACTGAACCTTCAGAAATCATCCACAGATGCTCATAATACGAAACCATACAAATTTCACATCAATAACAAAATTTCAATCAATAAACTTATCGTTGTTTTGCCAATATAGAAACAGACACAGATAATTCCAGACTTGATCAAAATTACAGCATCAAGCAGAAATATTTAAATAACCAGTCATAAACTTTAGATTTAATACATCTCAAAATCTGATTTGGGTTATTATTCATTTTTGGAATTCATAATACATCTTGCCAATCTACCAACAAACTCAGATCATTCTCTTAATACCAAGTAATAAGAAACGCCTGTGTGGCTACAACCAAAATATATGAATACCTTTAGTAACTGACGACACATTACAGTCTTCTGGTGGAAGACCTGTCCCACCATCCTTCCAGTATGGATTCAGTTCTCTTTCTAGCAGTCTGGCCTAGAAGAAAATACTTTCAGAGGTCACAATTTAAAAATAACCTCACCATAAAATATATTAATAAATAATAAATCTGAGATTTGGTTAACAGTTGTAACCTTGGACAGACATTTAAAACACTCTTAAGACACTCTTCTGCAACTTGCAGGAAATAATGTCTAAATTAGCATTCATTCAATGCTTTTATTGAATGCCTACATGAATCAGAACTGTGCTAGATGCACAAGATATAAGAGTCAATATGCCTAACTCAGCCCTGGGTAGATTATGAGATACTGAGGAATACAGACAATAAACAAGTAACTGAGACATGTTTTGAAGATAGAAGCACAGAGCCCTAAGGCCGCACACAATTCAAACCCCTCTCTCACTGAAAGATCAAAGACTTCCTAGAGGAAGTAATATGTGCAGTCTTAGGCCTAAGAATGAACAGGAATTAGCCACATTTTCTTTTGTTGGGGGAAGAGGGCATAAAGATGCTCCAGGTCGAAGGAATAACAATGTGTTCATAAAACTCTAGAGGAAACAGAACTTGCAGGGAACTTAAAGTAATTCCCACTGGCTAAAACTCAGAAGCAAGAGTGAGTAGTGATAAGAGATTAACTAGGCCACACAAGCCATTTTAAACTGCTATTAGGGTTTTATGCTGGGGCAATGGTGAGTCACGTAAGTGAGAGGCTTTGTATTACACAAAGAGCAAACTGGTTTCAGAGTGCAGGAAAGACTGGAGAAGAGCAAGATTAGAGGCAGGAATCCAGTCAGAAAACTAAGGCAGTAATCAGGAAAGAGATGATGGCAGCCTAATCACAATTCAAGTGCCTCCTGTGCACTATGCCATGCACTGGGGCTACAATAAACCAGGTATAGTCCCTGCCATCAAGAAACTATGGTCTAGACAAAGGGGAAAAGCAATTAAGCAATATTAACATAGGTAAGTGCTACGAAAGTAAAGGGTTCTATAGAACCACATACTAGGGGTACCTAACTTGACCGTAGGAGGTCAGAAATGCTTCTACAGAACTAATAATGGCAATTATTAGAATTAATAATGGCAATCAGATGGAGAAGAACAGAAAGAGTTAAATGTTAGTTTCCAGTAATATCAAACAACTACGCTATTGAAAACAAAATGTTGGATAAAATTCTTTTAAAAAAAGCTTTTAACAAGAACATACAATGGGGAAAAGAAAGTCTCTTCAACAAATGGTGTTGGGAAAACTGGATAGCCATATGCAAAAAAATGAAAGTAGACCCTTACCTTACACCATACACAAAAATTAACTCCAAATGGATTAAAGACTTGAATGTAAGACCTGAAACTGTGAAACTTCTAGAAGAAAACATAGGCAGTACGCTCTTCGACATCGGTCTTAGCAACATATTTTCAAACACCACGTCTGACCGGGCAAGAGAAACAATAGAAAAAATAAACAAATGGGACTACATCAAACTAAAAAGCTTCTGCACAGCAAAGGAAACCATCAACAAAACGAAAAGACAACCTAACAATTGGGAGAAGATATTTGCAAACCATACTTCTGATAAGGGCTTAATCTCCAAAATATATAAAGAACTCATGCATCTCAACAACAAAAAAACTACCAACCCAATTAAAAAATGGGCAAAAGACCTGAACAGACATTTCTCCAAAGAAGAAATACAGATGGCCAACAGACACATGAAAAGATGTTCAAAATCACTAACTATCAGGGAAATTCAAATCAAAACTACAATGAGATATCACCTCATGCCCGTCAGAATGGCTATAATTAACAAGACAGGAAACAACATGTGTTGGAGAGGATGTGGAGAGAAGGGAACTCTCATACACTGCTGGTGGGAGTGCAAACTGGTGCAGCCACTATGGAAAACAGTATGGAGATTCCTCAAAAAATCAAGGATAGAACTACCATATGATCCAGCTATTCCACTGTTGGGTATTTATCCAAAGAACTTGAAAACACCAATTTGTAAAGGTACATGCACCCCTCTGTTCATTGCAGCGTTATTCACAATAGCCAAGACTTGGAAGCAACCTAAGTGCCCATCAAGGGACGAATGGATAAAGAAGCTGTGGTATATATACACAATGGAATACTACTCAGCCATAAGAAACGATGAAATCCAGCCATTTGTGACAACATGGATGGACACTAAGGGTATAATGCAAAGTGAAATAAGTCAGAGGGAGAAGGTCAAATACCGTATGATTTCCTTCATTAAGTAGTAGATAATAACAACAATAAACAAACACATAGGGACAGAGATTGGATTGGTGGTTACCAGAGGGGAAGGGGGGTGGGAGGAGGGTGAAAGGGATAATTCGGTACATGTGTGTGGTGATGGGTTGTACTTAGTATTTTGGTGGTGAACACGATGTAATCTATGCAGAAATAGAAGTACAATGATGTACACCTGAAATTTTTACAATGTTATAAACCAATGTTACTGCAATAAACAAAAAATTTAAAAAAATTAAAAAATTAAAAAAAAATTAAAAAAGCTTTTAAAAAGTATCCATAGCTGACAAAAAAGTACAGAACCTATAAAAGACAAAATTTAAGTTAAAGGTTAACTTAGAGGGATAAACAAAACCAAAAGGATTTGATTTCTTAGAGTAGTTTGTACCAAAAAAGATTCTGTCACCTCCCTTGTTAGTCTATTACAAAATCTCACAGTATCTATAATCAAGGAATTTCTTCCAGTGGTCTTATCTAGACACTCAAAGAGATACACATCAGATACTCAACAGGATTTTTAAAAAGGCTGAGGAGGACAAGTGACAACAGGCTAGATAAATTATGAGATACTATGCGAAAATGTACAAAAAGAGCAAATATATAAAGAACTACTACAAATTAGAAAGAAAAAGACAACCCCAGAAGAAAAATAAGCAAAAAACATAAGCAAGCAGCTCATACTATCAGAAATCTGAATGACCATAAAACACGAAAAGATCTCTCACAGTAATCAGATGAATGCATATAAAAACAATGAAATACCATTTCTCACTCATTAATCAGCATGACAAAAATCTTAAAGTTTGACAATACAGATACTAAGTATGTTACAGAAACATACACTGTGGGAGCAATATATAAATTGTTATAATCTCTTCGCAAGTATTTGTAAAAAAGATAGGTGCATACTCTATAACTTAGCAATTCCACTTCTAGATATGCACCATGGAGAAATGTGCACACATGTGCATGAGAAAATACATACAAGGACCTCCATTGTGGCATTCTTTGTAATAGTTTATAGTGTATAAGATGATAAATCTCACCACACGAAGCCAAGGACTGGAGTGGGGGAGATCTGCTTGCGAAACAAAGCCAAAAAACTGGTATGCATCTCTATATGCTACAAACTGGGTCTACCGATAAATGCCATAGGTCTAAAGCTTATAGCACAATGCAGGTATAAGGAGCCAAGAGGATACAGATACACTGTTGTCTGAGCATTGGTATTCAAACTTTTTTATAACCTTGACTTATAGAGAGACTGTGTGTGTGTGTGTGTGTGTGTGTGTGTGTGTCCCCAAAACAACGGTTTTAGGAAACAAAATATATCTTTATTACACGTAATACATACTGATATTTTATATTTTCAAATGCTGATTGCAATAAATTAATTTCATGACCCACATTTTGAGAAACATTAGCCTAGAACACCAAAGAAATGATATCCTCAATATCAAGAAGAGATGTAAAATCAACATGCCTCACACAGAAGCTCAGGTAAGGATCATTTCAGAGCTCTTCCCATTATCTTCACTTTATCCCCACTCCCGTTACAAGAATTAACATTTGTTTTTAAGGCAAGGGGCCATTTTTTTCTCAAAATAAACCAAATATTTATCATGTGTTAAGAATATGATGATGTGCAGACAACAACATACCCAAACTGACGTGCAGACGTTTAAAAATTGGCTAGTCTCTGGGGCCAGCCCAGTGGCATAGGAGTTAAGTGCGCGCGCTCCACTGCAGCGGTCCTGGGTTTGGAACCCCGGGCGCACACCGACACACCACTTGTCAAGCCATGCTGTGGCAGCATCTCATATAAAGTGGAGGAAAATGGGCATGGATGTTAGCCCAGGGCCAGTCTTCCTCAGCAAAAAGAGGATTGGTGACAGATGTTACCTCAGGGCTAATCTTCCTCACAAAAAAAAAGGGGGGGGGGCTAGTCTCACTCTCACTCACTAGTCTAGATAACTAACTTCTACACAACAATCTGAATTCTTACCTAAGCAAAAATCAAAAATTCCTATAGGTTATCAAACTTCAGAACTAAATCCAGGGATTTACAGAGCAACAAGGTAAATTCATGCGGAAAAAGAATAATAATAACTCTTCTAAAATTTCAAATATATAAAAAATAAAAAAGCACCTACTATATGCAGAGTTCTATACTAGCTGCTAAGGAAGATACAAATATAAACAAAACAGTTTCCTAAAAAGTTCATAATCTCATAAGGGAAATAGGACAAGACTATTAAACTACAGTACTTTACAGAAAACTACAAGCACTATGTGGCAAAGGAGCTAATAACGTGCTATGAAAACATAAAGAAGAGATTTATTTCAGTCAAGGGAAACAGGAAGAATTTCAAAGTATATATCAAGTTAGGCCTTGAAGGATAAACAGGATGCAGACATACAGAGATAGAAGGAATTCACTTAGAAAGAACCAGATAAACAAAAATTCAGAGACAGGAATTAGCAGAGAAATATGAGGCAAAGTGATTAGTTTGGTTGAGATACAAATTACCTAAGAGAAAAAAATTTGCCTTAAACATCAATCTAATGAGTTTGGACTCCATTTGCAGGCAGCTTTTTGGGGTCTTGAATGAAAAACAGTACATATAGGACCTTTCTTCTCAGTCCAGGCTTTGAACAAGTTAAGAGATAAAAGCAAAGGAGATAAAAGACAATTAGAAGAGAATTTTTCTTTCAGTGAAAGCCAAATGGGCTGAACCCCACACTGAGGCAGACTTTCCCAAGTGTAGAAAGCACTGAACCAACCCCCACCTCACCTCATTCCCCACATGGTCTCTGCAGGCAGCCTGTTCCATAAGCAGGAAAGGCAGAGCTAAACCAAATATGCCCACTTTATTCTTTCCAAATTAACCAATGGAAAATTTTGTCCATATCCTCAAGGACAAAATGAGAAAAGGTGGTGGCATGAAATACCACTAGTGGAGCTTCTTCCACCAGAAAGGAAACATTAGAAATGGCAAGACATAGTCTCCTTAACTTGAATCACTGAAGACTTCTAAACAGAATAAGACCATGATCAAAGCTGTACTTTGAAAAAATTAACCTGATATCATTTGTGGGATGCTGAAAAACAAATTAAGAGGTTATTGTAATAGCCCAGGCAAGAGGAAATGAGGGCTTGAACCATAATAATATCTAACCTTCAATGGCTCTTAGTTCCAAGGGCTGTCCTCAGTTCATTACACGTATTAACTCAACTCCAGTACAGATGAGATAAATGAGGCACAGAGAGGTGAAGTAACACATACAACTAATAAGTGGCATTCAAACTAGAGCAGCAGCAGTAGGAATGAAAAAGATAATACAGATACAAAAGACAAAAACTACATAAGCAAATAAGCAGATCAATAGATGCCAACTTAATTCAATCAGAGAAGTTTATATAAGAATGTTTAAGAAAAGATTATGTTAATTAGAAAGCCTAAAATTCAAAGCTGGAAAGTTGGTAAAACAAGCAAGACAAAGGTATTACAGTCTCTTAGGAAAGTGAAGATGGTTTTATTTAACAGTATTTCTAAGAATAATTGATTACTATTTCAATCTATTAAAGATACTCAAGAGTCTACTATGTTCTACTGTTTGATATGGAGAACAGGCCGGACCATAAGCCAGAGTTACCCTAACACGCCAGACCAACAATGTCCACAAGCAGGAGAGCATGATTTCAGCAGCAAGCGTGTAATGGTAATGGGTAAAATCAACTCCAGACTTCATAGAGCTCCCATCTCTTGCTCCACTATCTACTGATTATCCGCCTATTGCTAGGTGTACTTTTCCCTTCCTCTTTTAGAACAACAAATCCCAATTCCTTCACGTCTCAGAGACAACGATATTTTACAGAACTTAGTCAGGATGTTCCAAAATCTCCTGGCCCCCAATATTCCATATGGATAGTTGCTTAATTATAAGCCAATACAATTTACCACATCTACATTTTCAGAATTAATATCAAACCAGGAGGAGGAGGAGACAGAAAACAACATTGGAGTCATAGGACTTCTATGACCACTCTCACATTTTTCACTTATTTGTCCCTCTATACCACAATCAAGGTAAATTCTTAAAGACTATCTTCTTGCTCACTAATTCTCTATTCAGCTGTATAATCTGCTGTTTAACCACCTACAGAGTTTCTAATTTCAACTGTAATATTTTTGAATTTCTAGAAGTTCTTATTGGCTCTTTCTCAAATCTGGCTTAATAATCTTTGATTCCTTACTCATATTTTCTATACCTACTGTTACTGTATAAAGCTATTAAATATTTCAATAAAGGTTTTGTGGGTCTAATTCTGTTTTTTATTGTTTCAGATGACTCTCATTCAAGGACTATCCCTGTATTTTCATGTATTTTGTGATTTTTAGATTATGAGTTTATATTCCATAGAACTTATTTCAGGGAAACTTGTGATGCCTACATTGACAGTGTGATCCTCTAGAAAGGATTGATGGTTGCTTCTGCCAAACACTTCAAGGCACTACCAACTCAAGAACACTTTAAAATAAATTCTCACCTTAAAGATTTTCAGACCACACAGGTAGCATGGTTCAAACCTTAGAATCATAAATATTTAGATATATGCCCTAGATTTATAAATCTAGCAAACCATTAAACTGACTTCCTACAGGGAACTTATTTTAAAAGAACTAATACCACATTTCATAGTTGTTCCTACTTAATTTATACTACAAAATATAAAATATTTCACACGTAAAACTGCGTTTATATAAATGTCTTATCGATTTATTAAAGGCAAATTAGAAAGATAAAGCATTTTAAATATTCTCTTACCTGTTCAAGTGCTTGGGTTTTCTCTTGCTCTATTTTCCTTACAGTTTCCTTTTCAGCTTTGAATGACGATGATGACACAGTTTTAACAGACATAAAATCAACAGTCATCCACTCATCCCTCTGCTAAAAAAAACAAGTCATTTTGATCTAAATTGATTAGAACTTAACACCTGGATCAAATCCCACACGGCTGTAAAACTTGAAGCAAGTTTCTTAGTCTCTCCTCTATAAAATGAGATAATATCCCTACCTTTCAGGACTGTTCTAAAGAGTACACAAGGAAAAATATTTAAGGCATCCAGTGCAATGCCTGACACACAACAGGCACTCAAACATTAGATCCTTTTCACTTTCCTTCCTTCACTGTGGCTCACACTGTATAACCTGCATTGTTCCTCAGACATATAAACTATAACCCAAAATTTGTGAACTATTTAACTATTAAGTATTGCTAAAAAAATTATGGCATGAGGTGAAGGGAGAGAAAACTGTGATTGAACTCTACTCACTGTAGAAAGGTCAGACAGAGTTAACAGTACAAGGCTTCAAGGACATAAGGGGAAAGTGCCACTTCTCTATCAACAACCAGCAGTAGGAAACCCTCTGAGGGACTAGAACAGAGATAAGCACTCACTTTCTCACAGAAGGAGAAGAAGGGGAGTCTAAAGGCTCAGCAAACAGCATTACTGTCAAAATTATTCATAAAAGTATACTGTTTACAAAGTCTAATTTCTCTCCTGAAAAAATAATAATCATCTTTGATTTTAACATTTATCTATTCTTAGAAGCACACACTTTGTTTAAAATCAGGTGACTTACCTGAATAACTTGGTTGTCTTCTTGTTTTTCTGCCTTTTCATCTTTCACTTTCCAGGCCTTTTCTTTGCCAGGAGTTTGGAATGGAACAGCCTCAACCCACTCATCTTCAGAGCTCTAAGAATATTTAGCATATAAGTGAAATTCTCAAATTTGCATCTTTCATATAAAAATTCTATGCTGTTGTTAAATGGTAGAAATTCAGCTTCCTAGACAAAATTCTTACAGTATACTTCCCCTTTAAAAAGTTACATTGAAAATGTGAAGAAAGAACATGTAAACCCACTATTTTTGGATAAGCTCACAAAGTACCAACCAAATTATTTCTATGTTCTTAGTAGTTTATTATCAAGCCAGGGAAAGCAAAAAACAAAGATTAGAACTGCTAGGTAGAGAAATCATTTCAGCACAGAGTTGCAGTTCTACCAACATCAAGTAATACTGACATCTTTGCTCAACTAGAACAAGGGACACAACACCCAAGTAAATGACTTGGCCTCTAAGTTTCAAATTCTGAGATTTCCCTATATCTAAAAATGCAGAGATCTCAGTTAACAGCCAGGCTGGTAAAGCACTTGGCTTACTGTGTTTAAATACCAGATTATTAAATCAACTAAGAAGTATTTAGTCAACATCCTCTATGTGCTCAGCATTACGCCAGGTTTTGGGTTTAGTTTTCAACAAATATATCAATCAACTCTTCTGTATTAAGTACTGTAATAAGTACTTTCACATATGCTGTCAGACAGACTCCTTAACACACCCCTACATAAAATATTATTTTGGTTTTACAGGTAAGAAAAGCTCCTCAAAATTAAGTAACTTGCCCAGGTTACACAGTATCCAAGTAGGAGAACCAGAGTAAAACTCTTGATCTGTCTGGCTTTAAAATCTATACTTTAGAGCTCTACAACTTAAGTGTAGGAAAGAACCTAGAAATCACCTAATGCAACCACTTGTTAATGCACAACAGAGACACTTCGAGGCCAAGAGGGGAAAATGGGTTTCCTGAATGAGACCAATATTCTTTCATTTCGTGAAGTTCCTGAAAATTACCTAACTAGAGAACAAGAATATGTCTAGTAAAAGGTATAATCCACATGGAGTAAACATATTTGTGCTCTGGCATCTCAACTGCCAACTATTTCCCAATACAGAGCAGATTTTATTCATTCATTCATTCATTCATGTAGGCCTTGATTTGGATTTACAGAAACCTAAATTTACTTATTTAAACTATTTAAATTTAAAAATTTTTTAAGATAATCATTATAATCTACTCATATTTACATTGTCAAATCAATTAAGAGAGTCCTGGTTCCTACCACTTGAAGTTATCCACTAAAAACGGAGTTTAGGCCAGCCCCGTGGCTTAGCGGTTAAGTGCTCGCGTTCGGATGCTGGCGGCCCGGGTTCGGAACCCGGGCATGCACTGACGTACTGCTTCTCTGGCCATGCTGAGGCTGCGTCCACATACAGCAACTAGAAGGATGTGCAGCTATGACATACAACTATCTACTGGGGCTTTGGGGGAAAAAAATAAATAAATAAAATTATAAAAACGGAGTTTATAATCTGAAAAAATTAGCATGTTCTTTGGAGGAGTGCCAATTTGCTAAGATGAAACTAAAAAAAATTTAAAAGTTAGTGTTCCACAGGAGTCTGTGAAAGATCTTCTTCTAAAACTATAGATTTTCTTTCCTAGAGATTTTCCTACTAGATGTTAATCAATCACTTGAAATTCACTAACCAGAGATATCAGTTGCTTCACCACCACAGCTGCAACCAATCTCCAACCCTGGATAAATCCAATTATCATGACCTACAACTTCAGTTGAGCTAGACTCTCAGTCCTAACCAGTATTCCTCTTACTGGTCCCTAGTCAGGTCTCTCTTCCATTCCTTTCACTTAATCCCCTTTGAAGCATTTATTAGTTTTATATTTATTTGTGTGACTTCTTGATTAATGTCTAACTCTCCCATTAGGCAGTAAGTTCTATTAGAACAGCAATCACATCTGCTTTTGCCTAGTTTGTATCCCTAAGGACCTCGCTTAATACCTTGGCAGATAGCAGACAATCATTATCTTCTTAAACATCCTCCTCAAGTTTTCTACCAACTCTCATTCCCCATACTCAGCAAATGATCTCTCCTCTTCCTTGATCAAGAAAAACGAGGCCACCTTAGCTTCCTACCCAACCTCCAACAAAATTATTTATACCTGTGCCTATCCTTACCTCTTGTGAACACTTCCTGTTCAAGGCAGGTGCTCCTCCAAAGATCTTAATCCCAAACATTCCAGTTCCCCCAGTACCCTGCTCCATCAATTATCTCATTCTCTTGTAGCTTCAATCAAAGCTCTCTATTGGCTTGGATATATGCTCAGGTACTTCCTATCCTTTGTGTGTGTGTGCGTGTGTGTGAGAATGAAAAAAGAAGGGAACCTTCCTTGACACTGTGTCTCCCTGCAGCAGCAATTTATCTCTCCAATTTCCATTCTAAGCCAAATTCTTGAAAGAGTAGTCTATATCCACTGCCTTCTCATCCTCACGTCCACCCATTTCTCAAAACTCTATAATATAACTACTGTCCCCAATAATCTACTGAAACTTCTTCAAAGGTCACCATGGCTTCCACTTTGCCCAATTCAGCAAAATGTTTCAGTCTTTATCTCCCTAGACCTCTCTGCTGAATACAACTCGATTGATAACTCACCTTCTTGATTTCCATGACAATTCTCAGTTCTCCTCCCCTTCTTTGTTTCTTCTCCATTTCCATCATGCACTCTTCCTCCTTGGCTCAGCCCTTAAATATCAATGTTGTTTGGGGTTCCATTCTTTGCCCACTACATTTTTTAATCTCTAAATATTCCCCTTTGGCCATTAAAACCACTCTCATGGCTTGAACTACCATCAATTGTACTGATATCTTTCAAATCTGTTTACACAAAGGTTCAGTGATCTAACCAACTGCCTACTATATTTGGATGCCATGCTGAACTCAATTAGAACAAAAAATAAACCCATCATCTTCTTCCACAAAACCTGTTCCCCCTTCTGTATTACTGAACTGAGTTACCTGGCACCACCAACCACCTTACCCAAGCCAACAACCTCAGGATCATCTTACCCCTCCCATCTAAATCTACTAGTTTTATTTCCAAAATATTTCTCAAATATACCATACAGTAACCACCACATGATTACCATAGGAGGCCACCTCCATCCCTGGCCACAGCTGATTGGTTCAGAAGTAGGTATCTAACCCAATTCATAGCAATCTGAGTCACTCTCCAAGAATTTGAAATCAAAACTAAATGGACTTCACTAAAACTAAGGAGAAGTGGAAATGCATTGGCAGAAGCCATTTCTGTCATGAAAAATAGAATTGAGCAAAAACTGATCTGTATCAAGAAAAAAACAGAACACAGAGAAAAACGAAAATGGAAGATGGCAAGAAGACTCAAAAACATTCACAACTCTAATTCCAGCTATTCTTGAAGCCCAGAGACTTTTGTACTCTAATAATAAATCCCCCCGTTTTTTTAATAAGCCACTTTAAGTTTGGTTTCTGTTACCTGCAACCAAGAGTCCCAACTAATACATATCCCCTCCTCTCCATCCTTAAAGCAGCAACCCTAGATCATATCTTATCTCTCATCTAGACAACTGGAACAACCAAACTAGTCTCCTGGACTCCAGTCTTTCCTGCTCCCTTTCCTTCTCCAACCCCCACCCTAAATACATTTGGAGTAATTTAAAGGGCACATTTGACCACAGTACTCCTCTTCTACGGTTCCCTGTCACAAAGACTGCCAGGAGCTGCTCCTCTTTGCTACCAACAGAATCCAGTTTTATTTGGATACATAATGTGCCTCCCTTGCCAGAAAATGAAGCCGTATTATGCTCAAGTGTCCAATGAGATGGAAATGAAAGTACTGTGTGGGACTTTCTGGAAGTCCAGTTAAGAAAGAGAAGGTATCCTCTTCCCTGTTCTCTAGACGAAGAGGCAATACTGTAAAGATGAGGGAGGAGCAGGACAGCAGAAGCCTTGGTCCCAGAAAACTACACTGGCCCTAGACTGCCTACCTGATTCTTTCATATGAGAGAAAAGTTAACTTATTTAACCAACGCTATTCTGAGATTTTCTGATAAATGCAACTGAACCTAATTAGATGATACACTCCCTGCTGAATAAAGTCAAAGCTCTTGGTTTACAAGGCCCTATCAACTGTTACAGCTTCATCTCCATTCTTTCCCCTCGTTTTATAATCTAGTGCTATCAAATTGCTTATAGGTATATTTACTTACATACACACACATACTTATACACCATGTTATCTCATGCACAAATTCTTGTGCACAAAATGCCAAGCACACCTTTCTGTGCCTGGCTAATTCCTACTCATTCTTCAAGTCTCAACTCAGATATTATTTCCTCAGATATTATCTCCTCAATAAGTCTGCAGATGAAATCCTCCTTCCATTAATACCTTGTACTGCCATGGCATCATGAGATTACATATTGAAATTACGTATCAATTTATCTAATTAGAAAATGAGTTCTCCAAAGATTTGGGAAAAACTATATTTTTATATTCCCCATGTCTACAATAGAGTCTGGCAAAGAATTGGCATTCAATAAATGTGCACTAAAATTAACTGAACCCTCTTTTTCTACTCCTTCAATAGCCCTAGTCAGAAATTTTAAGCAGCAGCCTACATTCAAGCATTAAATATCAGGCAGTGAATGAAAGAAGCATATGTGATACAGTTAGTATTCTTATTATTCATTTACAGAACAGTGATACCTGGACCATTCTGTACAATTCTCCTGCCTGCATTCCCTTTCTGTTAATTTTGTTGCTCATTTTTATTACTATGCACTCACTTTACCACTTTAGCTTGATGGTCCTCTCTCCCCAATGTGCTATGACTTCAGTTCTCTTGATGATTTTAGTTTCAATCCTCTATTTTACCTTGAAGAACTCAAAAATCATCGTGCTTATTGTGCCTCCCAAGACTCTCCTTCTCAAGTATAGCTTTGATAACTAACCATATTGCTAATCCTATCTAGCAGTCAAAACCTGGAAGATGGAACCAAGACAGAAAAGTGCT